TGACGTCTACAGTCACCAGGTCCATCTGCTCCTGCCCCTGCAGCTCCAACTCTTGGTCCACTTCCACCATTGCTGCTGCTGCCTCTGGCATCTGTTTTGCTGCTGCCCTTTGGCTTGCCGCGTTCGCTCGAGTTCTTGGCTAGCTCGAGCTCCTCGGCGCGTCCAAAAACGGATTTGCATATGAAACAATTGGGCGATTCCGCATCAGGCACCCAATAGGCAGGACGTGCGCTGTCCTTGATCATAGCTGCGGAGCGACAGAGGACGATTAGCCGAGAGACTTCTTCTAATTGACTTGACTTACCCTTGGGATAGTCTATGGCCACGGCTGCGACGCTGCTGATCGTGTTATAGATCGTCTCGCCATATTTCCGCACCAGAATGTCGCCTTCATCGTTCGTCGGACGAGAGCCTAAGGCGAAATGTTGATTACAATCAATGTTAAACATAAATTACGTGCTGGAGAAGGAGAGAGATAGAGATAGAAAGACAAAGACCGAAGGATGGCTGTGGAGATAGAACTATAGCCTCTAACTAAAGAGCGACCGAGCGAGAGAGAGCTAGAGAGAGCTTTGTTAATACAGATAGAGAAAGAGAGAGAGAGATATATATAACCTTTCAGTAAAACTAAATTGCTCTCCCCCCTCTCTCTCTCTTTCTGACCCTCTCTGTACCTTCAGCCCTTCTCTCAATAAAGAGAGAGAGAAATAGCTCTATTTTTCACTCTCCCTCTCTCTATCTCTCTATATGTATACGTACTTGCTCTCCCATAAAAATACTACTATTCATAGCACTTCCTTTATCTCTCCCTCTCTCTCTCTATCCCTGTCTATCTGTCTATTCTTTCAGTTCTCGCACATTCATTTCATTCCTTGGCTGATTTCTGCTTCGACTGTTGATCGATCTGATGCAGTTGGCTTACCTGGCGTCGCGTCCGACTTGCGCTGCAGCTGTTGATAGCAATCGTTGCAGACGCGCACGGGCTGCAGCCAGCCTCGCCCCGGCACGGGCACCCTGTGCTGGCTGCACGTGTGGCAGAAGCCCTCGCCACAGCCGCGACAGTGATGTTTCGGCATGCCAGACTTCTCAAAGCTGCGCCTGCAGGCGTGGCACATCTGGCGGGAAGGGAAAATGAAGACATAAGTGAATGCTTAGACGTAGCACATACCCTGTAGCCATCGATATTTATCGATCTAGAGAATTCATCGATTACTCCATATACTCCAGTTGCTTTCCTATGGCTACAGGGTATACGAGTGAAACTATATTCAGCGTACAATTATCTCCTGATTGGGCCGCCAATAGCTGGGCGCCACCTTGTCCGCCAGCATGCCGCTCAGTGCCTTCGCCCAGGGCGCCGAGATGTTGGTAAATGCCTCGCTGATGCTGTTGACGCTGTCGAGCACCATTTGGGCGGAGTGCGCATTAGCGCGCAGCACCGCATTGCCACCTTTCCAGACATGCACGACCTGCACACTGCAACGAGAGCGACGGAATCAGTTATCGACTCAGCTGGCTGCCGGAGAGCACTGTACTTACTGCACTACCGACGCCTCGGGTGACTTATTGCCGTACCAATATTGGCGCGCTCGATAGATCTCGCCGCAGTACGGGCACTCGATCACGTCGCCCTTCCACACGTATTTGGCCAGGCCCGACCAGGCGGTGTCCGTCTGCGCCTGCGCTCGCACGCTGACCACGATCTCCTTGCCATTGTTGTAGCAGGCCTTGCACAGGTAGAGCTTGTTGCCGAACTGGTGCTGGTAGTTGCAGGGCTGCGTATTGAAGTGCGGCTCCCCGTCGCTCACGTGCCCCATCGAGCGCTGGCAGCGGCGGCTGCACGACTCGCAGTGGGCACCGCAGGTGAAGTATTGCTCCGGAAACGGATTTATTGCTTTTTCGATAATTTCGCCAGCGAACTTCTGATTCAGTAGTTTCATCGCCTTGAATACGACGGCGGGCTGCCGTGGCGATCTCACCGCCGTATTCTCTATCTCCAGATGCAGTGCATCGCTAATTTTTTTGAAATTCGTCGACTTATTTGCGTCCGTCTGGATGCCCACGTAGCGCAGCGAACTAAACGCGTTCGTCTCATAATTCAGCAGCGCGAAGTTGTTGCGCAGCTTGTCCTCGGCGCTCTCCTCGACAGCTGTGAGAATAGGGTGACATAAGAGACCATTAGAAAGGATTCTTCAGAAATTGAGCAGTCTAGTTAGATTCTTCCTATATAAATTAGATCACCCAGACTTGTAGCTTTCATATTTTTCGATTATTATCGATATAAGCAATATTATATATTCCCTTGCCAGCCTCTAGCTTTTCTAACTTTCAGACAAATAAACATCGATATTTATCGATACAATGGTACATACTGCTCTCCAGCGGCTTTGTGTAGTGAGTCTCATGGAATATGATCACAGCTGGTCCCAGAGTGCTGCCATTGCCCATGGCCTGCAGCGCCTGAGTGAAATGCAGGCAGAACGCCTTCGAGGCGGTGCCCAGAAACTCGTACATATCACTGTGCAAACGCTCCGAGCGTGTGCGATAAACCACAATATCCGAAATGGCTAAAATCTGTGGAAAACCAGAGAGCAAGCAGTTTAAGTGAAAAGTCGAAAGTGATCGATTAATCGAACATACCTTGAGTAGCATGCGCATGCGTTTGTTGCTTTTGGCCGTGGTGCCCAACAATCCTTCCGTGTCTAGGCAGAGGACACCCTGCTCCCGCTGCATAGCCGCATAGACGCCAATCGTGCAGGAGCTTTGCTCTGGCGATGTGCGAAACACGGGCTCGCCATCGAAAAATACCTGATTCATCGTATGCGATTTGCCATCTCCAGTGTTGCCAAATATTGAGATCACTTTGATTTTGTCCAGACTCTGACACTTCAGCTTCTTGCAAAACAATTCCGGGGTCGCTATCTGCAGATTCTCGTCGGCATCGAGAAAGAGAAACGCTCGTGGTGTCGATCCGTTCTCATTATCGATCGAGTCGTGCTCATTTGTATTGATGAATGGTATCGATTTGAACTCGGCATCGTTTATCACATCCAATCGCAGAGCCTCGTCCTGCATATGTGTGTGAGTATAAAAGTTGTTGAGCACAGCAGAATGAGTGAGAGAGAGTGCGAGAGAAAAAGAGAGAGAGAAAGTGAGCATGAATGCTAAGCGACTGAGTGAGTTTTTGCATTATAACGCGCACCTCTGTTATGGAAACTAGAAAGGCCATCGCTAAAGCCGAATTGCTGCGATTGAGTAAGCCTTTAAGCAGCTGTGTAAATTAATTGTTTTACAATTCACAGTTGGCGCAGCAGCTGGCTGAGCGGCTGAGCGCTGCTTTTTATGACTCAGCGCAGCGCCTTGCGGACAGCGTTTGCTGCGACTACTCAAAAAGTGACGACGCAATTTAAAATAAATAAAAACAAATAAATAAACGTCGAGCATTTCTTTTGTTATATTTGCCTGGAAGCATGTGCACCTGTGTGTATGTGTGTACGTGTATTTGTGTGAGTGTTAACAGAACTCTGTTACGTTAACAGCTTCTTTGCATTCTGTCCATGCAGCTATTAACATTGTGCGCTTACATCCGTCTGCACTTAACCCTTATGTGTGCATCTAGTTCTCAGCTTGAAAGATTAGTCAAATTATGAGTCATACAGAATTTAGTTGTTAGCTTTAAAATTGCTTCAGCTTACTTGTTGATCAAGCAATTGATTTCACAATTCAAAAAATTATTGCATTAGAAGATCTTCGACACTGCCCACTTACTGGTTTAATTGCAATTATTGAGCATTTACAGTTTGCTAACAGTTTTTGTACTCTGAATGCAATTTAAACAATTTCTGATTAAGCTTTTGCTGCTTTTTCCTTGTTTATTTTTTACTGTCTCGCTGGACAGCTTGGAATTGTAAATAAAAACAAAATAAGCACGTAAATGGAATACTGTTGTGGCTTTTTGTTGTTGTGCACCTTATCAAGGGCTTATCAAAGCCTGCGACAAGTGATGGCAAACGAAGCAGCCTCGACAACAAAGGCACAAGCGTAGAACTGTTATTAATGTCGAGCGCTTGCTTATGTTGTTGATATCGGTAGCTTTGCCGTGCCCCTTTTCGCATGTGTAAAGTGCGACGCAGCTGTTTTTTTTATTATTTGTTTGTATTTATTTTTTATTGGGCTGGGCTTACAGCCGTTTAAGTCTATTCACTTTAATGCGTCTGTGTTTGTGCAAAACAGCTGCGTGTATATGTGTGCGTGTGTGTGTACACGTACACATGTACGTACATATATATATGTGTGTGAGTGTTTGTTTTTTTATCAACGCGCGTTTCATGAGCAAAACTGAATTAACAATGCGCAATACTTCGAGATCTAAAAACAATAGCAAATTAATTGATCGTAAATTGGCACATATGTCACGCTACATGCTGCATTCACTCTACTGTTCTGATATATTTGCAATTTATTGTCAACAAGCTGCTTACCTGGAAAAATGGCATCGGCTGCATTATTGACGATTGATTTTTGTTTGTTGTATCCAAATTGATCATTATTGTAGAGCTGCGTCTGCTTCGTTAAGGATTTTCGTTGCAGCTGCAAGCTGCAGCCAATTGTAATAACTATGTACGTATATGGTAAGTAGATGTGTGTGTGTGCCTGTTTATTTGGCTAAGCGTGCGGCTAGCTACTGCCAATGGCGGTGTACTTGATTAACTGCTTATCAATTCAACTGGCGTGTCTTTACTGTTATTTATATATATGCTGTCTTACACATTTAGTCACTTTTACTATTCAATTTAGCTATTTGAACGCACCACGACCAACAACAAACGATAGGAACGCGCACGCATTGTCAAAAAGTTAAAAGCAATACTCTTTAATAGAGATGCGAACTATGCAGCGATCAATATATCGATGCACTGCCATGCTCAGAGATGGCTGCTTGCCGATATTACATAAAACAGCTGCTGAGCGATGTTAATAAAACATCAGAGATATAATTCGATGAAATCGTTAGTAATTTACGAAGACATAATGACAAGATATTTGTCACCTGCAGCTATTAATTTTTACAACTTCAAAAACAAATTGATCACAATGATTGTTTGATTTGAAGTACATATTTGTTGCAATCTCATAGTCGATTGCCAGTATCGATATTGTAAATGGTGGAAGTATCGTCAAGTGCTCAATCGATATTTCGATATGCCATGATATCAACATCCCCAATGTGTGTGTGCGCCGCAAAACAAAACGCGTATTGTACGGGTACGGTGCGGGCACACAGCAACGGCGAACCCCCAAAATATTTCTAAATTGGCTGTGCTTTCCAAAAACGACGATTCGGTGAATTAATTTGCCAAATAAATATAACAAGAAATACCGTATTGGAAATGTCCTGAATAGTGCTGATCGTGTTTTTTGTTTTCATTGTGTTAGTGTGCAACTCCCGTGTGTCTGTGTGTATCGTCGTCTCGTGTATGGTGCTAAAATTTACACATACCCACCTACACACACTCATACACAACATACAAAAACACACAGGCGCGCACATATCTACAATACATACATAAGACGTATACATTGTAAGTGTAGAAAATTTCTGCTGCTTTCTTTTGTTGCCTTATTCGTTTGCATTGCCCCCAACTAGTCTGCCTTAGATGTATGTGTATGTGTGTGCGTGTCGCATATTGTCCGTATATTTGAAAAGGGGTTGCCATACCCCAAGAGGGTGGAGTCCAAAATTTGAGTACGTATATTGTTTCTTTTTTCTCATCTTTGAGTGGTCAACCAAACACATACAACACTCAAACATACATACATACGCTTCGTTAAATTGAAACGCTAACGGTATTTACCGTTAAATAGCCGCCTATTGTACAGCAATTAGGATGAACGAGTGCTTAAAATAAACAAATATTTCAAAAAAAAAAAAAAGAAACAATTCGATTATTTTGCCTGCCGTCAAAAACTGAAAACTCAATTCATTGTTTCTCGGCTGTTTCTGAACTCTTGATTGTGGTTTCGGGGTGGGGGTTGTATGAGCTTGTGTGTATGTGCTCAGCGCTCGTTGTCAGACGGCAAAACGGAAACGAGAAATTTTCATTCAACGTTTTTCTTGGTTCCATTTGATTTTTATTGTGCCATTGCTCCTTGTATGTAGATGCATATATACTGTGTGTGTGTGTGTGTGTGTGTGTGTCTGCATATGCAGCATTGAGTTGTACTTTCTCGTTCAATTGAATTGGTTGAAACGTTCATGTATATAATGAACTAATGTGTTATTCAAGCAATATCGCTAATTTTCTCATTTATGCAAGTTCCATTGGCTTTTAACTCATTTATTCATTATTGATTATAATCTTACCAAAAGAGTTTTCATAGCAAAACAAAAATAATTGATTTGTATACTCATATATCAGTGATCTAATTCAATTGATCAGCTTAACTAGTTGCAATGAACCAAAGTCCGAACGAGACGGCACAGCTCCAATGCAGCATATACATACACATACACATCGACACTGCATGCATGTAAGTGCGCGACAATGGCGAGACGGCGCGCTCTCTGCTTACATGCTTTTGCCGGCTCTGCGCTCTCTTAGAGACATACACAGACACACGCAGCACACACAGGCAAGACAATCTAACTCGCATGCTGATAAATGCGACAATCATGCATATTGCATTTTGTTTATAACAAATTGCTTGTATATTCGATTCATTCATTTACGCCACCCACACGGCCATACATACACATACACACGAACACAGGCAAAGACTTGACTGCTTTCACAGACGCATGCACAGTCAGACATACATACATATATACATACATACCATATACATGCGCTCTCACTAACTCAAGCTTTCTCTCTCTCTATCTATCTCTATTTCTTTTTGGCTTTTGTCGCCTGCGTCTATTTTGCATTATTATTACAGCGCGACGCATCACCGGCATAACAACAAAAACAGCAGCAACAGCAATAATTACTATTATTATTGTGAGTTGGGCGCAGCGTGCGCTGCTGCTGCTGCACAGCGCCACAGCCAAAACAAAGCAACAACAACGTACATACATACACACGTTCACACACAATACTCGCATACAAAACATCTGCACAGCTGCTTACGCACATAGATAAACAGCATAAAGTACATAAGCGCATACGCATATTTGCATTTGCATAAAAAGTAACCAAAAAATACCAAAACACACACATACATCCATACATACAACAAAAATACCAATCAATGGCAGATCTAATGCGTTTGGGTAATGTGGACGTTGTCATACAGAAAGATAAACTCGGCTCGCCAACGGGCGGCTCCGATGACGGCAACCTAGCGGCATTGGGCGGTATAACGGGTCTCGGCGCCATGATGGCCGCTGGTGGCATTGATTTGAACGATCTGGCACAGGAATTGGATCAGGATGAATTCGATGGACCGCATATGCTGAATGGTGAGTGTTGAGCACATAAATATGCAGGTACATACATACATAAATAAGTAYATCAAATGAATCAGTGCCCTTTGTATGCACTGTATTATTTTATAGAACCGGTTCGCAAGACGAACTTATGGCTGTTCGCTGCCCCCTAATTGTAAACATATGGCAACATGCATACAAATTTATATTAATGTATATGTACATACATATGCATGCATGGATAGATTGCCTGCCTTTAAAGAAACACACACACACACACACACACATACAAATGCGGTTAAGTATGTGTGTGTTTACATTAGGTGAATCATCAGCTGTTTGTAAGCGCAGCCTTGTGGCTGGCTCTAGGCTGCCAAGGTGCAATGGACGGGCTTCCGTCCGTCTGTTTTAAGCGCGCGTGCCAATGCGTCATGCGGCACAAATTCAAAAACAAAAGAGAAAATAAAGCTAAAGCTTTGGCAATTATTGCGTCTGCGTAGCTGTTTGTGAGTCATGCGCTTAAGTCGTTCTCTGCCCACTCTTTCTCTCTCGCTCTCTCTGCCTTTCTTTCACCTACAATTGATCGCTGACAACCTTGCCAGCTCTCGCTCTCGCCCTCTCTCTCTCTCTCTCACATCTCTTTCAACAACATGCGTGACCTTTAGCAGAATGTGTATGTGTGTGCGTGTGCGCTATCGCATTTCATTTGACAAACGATAAATACGTTAGTTGACAATTGATCGCTGTCAACATTTTTTCTATGGCATGTTGCCAGCTGTATTGAGTAAGAGTAAATATACAGCAAGTGCAGCCACAAGCATACACAGACATATATCTGCTGTACCGTACATCCGCCTTGTTATAATGATGCCAGCCCATTGCAGCTATCGCCTCATATCGATAATAAATATTGCATTCCATAAGGTCAGCTGGCTGTGCAATGTGTGCATATGAGAATTCGTGTAGCAATTGATTCACATTGATATCGATAATTATCGATAAATACATGATTTCTCAGCCAAAGAGATGTTTTTATAGTGAGTTTATTGATAATGGCAATATATAAAATTGTAATCGAATTTCCTTGTCATAAATCGTTTTTATTAATTATGCACGTGTGTTATCGATACATGGTTATCCACTTAAACAGAAATACATATGTACATATAGTAAACTTATCTACGGCAACTCAAATTTGCTCAAGTTAGAGTATTTCGTTTTGACCGTCTGGCCAGAAATCGATTTCCCATTCTTTCTGTTTTGTTTTTGTTTCTGTTTCGTCGCTTGCGTGTTGTGCAATGCTGTTAATTTGGCACATTTTTCAACATTATTTGCTTGCAGGCGAACGTCCGGCGATAATTGCTCCGCCGGAGAGTGAATGGTATCATGGACGATTGGATCGCTATTCGGCGGAGGCACGTCTGCGTGGCAGCGGCAAACTGGGCAGTTATCTGGGTGAGTATACCCTATATGCATAGATATTATCTCTCGTCCATGCATCTACATGTTCTAATGCTCGTTTTCTATTCTCATTCACAGTACGCGAAAGTGATCGCAAGCCTGGTTCCTATGTGCTCAGTTATTGTGGACGCACAGGCATTAATCATTTTCGGTAAGTTTACCCGACCACCAGATACCCTGTGTGCACGCTATACTAAACTCTTTGAGATTTAGCTTCTATAGTCATTCAATTTGAGCTTAGTGTACAAAAAAGTATCGATAGCTCAATGTGTAGTCTTCAATAGTTCAATTTATCGATAACTTTAAATTAATTTTCTTGGCTACTTTGTGAACGTTGACTATATTTGCAAGCCAAAGATAATATATGCATATATATATCTACAGTCATACCGATAACTATCGATAATATTTTTAACTTGACCATTTCTCTTGATCCTTGCAGCATTACGGCCGTCTGCGGAGACTTTTACATTGGCGGACGTCAGTTCATTTCGCTAAGCGATCTCGTTGGGTATTATACGTCGTGCAGTGATCTGCTGAAGCGCGAACGTCTGGTCATACCTGTTGCACCGCCGGAGCCAGTGAATGATAAGAAACGCGTGGTTGCCATCTTGCCGTACACGAAAATGCCGGAAACGGATGAGCTGAGCTTTCAGAAGGGCGACATCTTCTTCGTGCACAATGACATGGGCGATGGCTGGCTGTGGGTTACGGCCCATCGCACTGGGGAGCAGGGCATGATCTTTCGTGAGCTGGTGGATGACCTGGATGTGTCTATCGATCCCAATACGGTCTTTCCCTGGTTCCATCCAAATTGCACCAAAAACGAGGCCGTCGATATGCTGGTCAAGGGTAAGTAGACAAAACGATGAGTCGATAACAAAGCAAGTCACACTTGGAACGTCATTTAAATACATTTTGGTAGTATCAAGTCAATTCTAGCGAGTAGTCAGTTGTATTAAAGTTAAACAGACGAAATTCGAGTCTTCGCTAACTAGGGAAATTCACGTTCACGTTTGGAGGGTTTCTCTCATATCTTTTCAAAGTAGCGATTGCAAAACAAAATTCGTATTCGATAAATAAACAAGCCCATATTAATTGAAAGGTTAATCGATAAAGCTTTACGTACTTAAAATGTAGGCTAAGAGAGGCAATAAATTTGTTATATAAACGTGCTATCGATAGATTTCACTAACTGTTATTCTTGCTCTCCATCTTGCAGCTGGTCCTGGCAGTTTTCTGGTGCGACCCAGCGACAATTCGCCCGGGGACTATTCGCTCTTCTTTCACATCAACAATCAGATACAAAGATTTCGCATCGAGAAGAAGGGCGTACGCTATCTAATGGGCGGTCGAACGTTCGAATGCCTCGATGCTGTGATTAATCGCTATCGCAAGGAGCAAATTGTCGAGGGGCACTCACTCAACCATCCCGTCGTCAATGGCAGTCAGCCCGAGTTCAACCAACAGTACGTGGTGGAGAAGGCGGCCGAGAAGATCTATGCCACGCTGCGGGAGTGTCGCGATCAGATTGGCCTGAAGAAGATCAAGGGCATCAAGCATCACGGGCATCTCAACAAGAAGTCGGACAAGACGACCAAGTGGAAGCAGCTGTACTTTGCGCTGATCAACGACGGCACCGAGACGCAGCTCTGCTTCTATGACAATCCAAAAAAGACTAAACCAAAAGGCCTCATCGATTTATCGTGCGCCTATCTATATCAGTGCCATGACTCGCTCTGGGAGCGACCCTACTGCTTCCAGATCGTGGAGCGAGCCCTGCCCTGCCTGGCCACCGTCACCTATCTGTGCGCCCCCAGCCAGGAGAGCTATGTGGAGTGGATCAATGCTCTGAAGGCCCAGTGCGATTCGCAGCTGAGTCGCGCCCAGAAGAAGGTCTCGCGTCTGCGTGAGCTGCGTTGCCTCAACTTGCATGTGCTGGAGGCGCATCGATTGCCATTCAAACTCGTGCCACATCCCTATTGCAGTATTTCCCTGAATCAAGTCAAGGTTGGCAAGACCAGGGTCAAGATTGCGCCCGAGCCCGTCTGGGAGGAGGAGTTTGTGCTTGAGTAAGTGTGACGCTCACCCTTGCATGGGATTTTCCGATAATTGTGTTTCAATTCCACCGTTCCGTTTGCTGCTCTGATTCTGATTCCTATTGCAACATTCTCAGAGTTTTACAGAAATAGATAAAACATATTCCCCTATATCATTCCATTTCGTTTCATACTTTTAGCGATGTTCCGCCAGACGTTGTCTCCCTGACAATTACCGTCGTCTCGCGCGGCAAACGTGGCAAGGACTCGGAGGTGGCCGAGCTAACGATCGACTTGGCCAGCCTGAAGAACGGCCAGGAGACCGAGGACTGGTACAAGCTGACGGGCATGACGCCGATGGGCGAGTGGGGCTCGCTGCGCTTGCGCATGCGCTATCTGGACGATCTGATAATGCCGTGCGAGGAGTACAGCCCGCTGCAACAGCTCCTCCTCGAGCCGGAGCTGCATGCTGTGAAGGCGCTGGCCGAGCTCTGTCACAACGATCGCGTGCCGTTGGCCACGGCGCTGTTGCGCGTGTTTCGGCACGAGAAGCGCGAAACGGAATTGATACGCATCCTCTGCCAGGCTGAAGTGGCCCGGGAGAACGAGACAACGACCCTGTTCCGCGGTGCATCGCTGGCGACGACCCTCATGGACTTGTACATGCGCACCGAGTGCAGCGGCTTCCTGCAGTCGGCCGTCAGCGAGACGGTGCAGCGCATTCTCGAGAGCAAGCAGTCGGCCGAGCTGAATCCAACCAAGATGGATGTCAACGACGACGCGTGCACCAACGCCGAATTCCTCTTGCAGATACTCGACCTGGTCACCCAGTCGATATTCACGTCGCCGGACGCTTGTCCGCGCAACGTGCGCTACATCTGCAATTGCTTGCAGAAGGCGGTCGTGGCCAAGTGGCCGACGGAGCGTTTGGTGCGCACGCGCGTCGTATCCGGTTTTATATTCCTGCGTCTGCTCTGTCCCTCGCTGCTCAATCCACGGCAATTCGGCTTGGTCAGCGAGACGCCGCCGACGGCGGCAACCCGATCCCTGATCATGGTGGCCAAATGCTTGCAGAATCTCGCAAATCTAATCGAATTTGGCGGCAAGGTAGGTCCAATGGGCTGACAATCTAGAGAGACGTATAGACTAATCGATTTCTATGCTCTTCCAGGAACAATATATGGAGGTGGTGAATCCATTTATACTCAAGAACAAGGAGCGCATGATTGTGTTCTTGGATCAGTTGTCGCAAGTCACCGATCCGAATCCGCCGTTTGTTATGTTTAGCGAGCAGAATACTAATCACAATGCACAGGATACGGGTGAGCCAGATACGCACCTATCGATATTTATCGGTAGTTACATGCTGTTGTTTTCTTCATAGGTCGCGAATTAGCCACATTGCATCACATTTGCGTTTCGTATTTGCCGGAATTGCAGGAACTATCGCATATAATATCGATCAAAAAGCTGGTGACCGTCACCGATATGTTATCGAAGCACAAATTRAAATACCGCGAGATGATCAGCTAAGATGATGACCGATACGCCCAACAGTCAGTTTATATATA